AACGTACAGTGCGCGGTGTAGGCGCCACAGTGCCAGTGCCTCCAGCTCCAGCACCCCCAGAACCAGCACCTCCACCACCGACACCCCCGGGGCCTCCAGTACCTCCCGCAGGAACACCCCCAGGCTCCGCAGCAACCGACCGCAGAGAAGAAGGAGGAGGAAACTGCGGGACGGACGGGAAGCCAGGGGGTGAGGCAGGGCGAGGCCGCCGAGTCGAGGCTGCCGTGTCCTCCACAGGAGTGACCTCCACGCCCACAACCCCTGCACCCCCAGAGCCGACACCACCAGCTCCTGCAGCCCCAGTACCCTCACCCTCCGCAACTGCACCTCCCGCACCCCCAGACACGACAGGGACTGGACGCTGCGGGGGGGAAGACTGCGGAGTGACGTGCGACACACCTGACGGGGCAGGACGCGAAGGGGGGGGGGCTACCGGGGCGACTGGTGGGGGCTCAAGGGTGAGGAACAGCGGGGGGGAAAAGGCCTGAGTACCTCGGTGGGGGCGACTCCTGTAGTAACAGACAGACTCGTCGAACGTGACGTCCTGCGAAGCGAAGAACTGGTAGGTGACCGGGTCGTAGAACACCCAGCCGGAGGCGTCCAAAGGGAAGCCAAGAAAGACGCAGGCACGAGTGCGCGGAGACAACTTGTTCGCGCCAGGGGCGCGAACGTGAGCCAGACAACCCCAGACGCGGAAGTCAGCTGCTACGCCCGGAGAACCTGTCCAAAGGGAGACCGGCGTCACCCTTGGTCGTGCGTCACTGGGCCACAGGTTCAGCTGGTGCGCGGCGTAGCGGACTGCCTGGGGCCACAAGAACTGGGGGGCACCGGCATGGCACATGGAGGTCCGGGCAACCTCCATGACCAGGCCGATGCGTCGCTCGGCTACCCCGTTCTGCTGCGGTGATGCTGGTAGCGTGTAAGACTGGATGATCCCCCGACCCTGACAGAACGTCTCCAGGCGATTGGAAGAAAACTCACCACCACGGTCCGAGTGTAGGCGAAGCCCACATAGGCCCTGGGCGCCACCCCACGCTAGTAGCCACGGCTCGAGGACGGTAGGCACGTCGGCCTTCCGTCGCAAGGGGAAAACCGTGGTGTAGCGGGAGTAGTCGTCCACCACAATCAGGAAGTAGCGCTCCTGACGTGGGCCAAGGACCGGAGAGGGGCCCCAGACGTCCAAGTGCAGGGTCTCGAAGGGAGCCGTGGTGGGGGGGAACGAGGAGGAGTGAGGGGCAGCGCGCTGCCGACCCTCGACGCAAGGAGTGCACAGTGGCGCAGGCGAGCGGGGAAGCGGTGCAAGCGACCCTGGGAGACCTGAGACCAGACGGTAACGTGCCATCCTACTGAGACGCGGGAACGACGGGTGACCTAGACGGTGGTGCGAGAGGACCGACGGGTGGGTGAGGGACCGACAGTCACACGACACAGCAGCTACCTGACCTGACCTGACCTGACCCGACTCAGTGTGGTGGGACCCAGTGTGTAGTGAGTACAGACCAGATCCCGGCTCTCTGTGGAATGTGGCCAGGGGCGCCCCAGTGGCACCGACAGTGCAGGAGGCAACAGGCTCGTCCAGTGGGAAAGTAGTGACTACGCCTAGGTCGTGAAGGTGACTGACACCCACCAAGTTCCTAGAGAACGAGGGGGTGTAGTAACCTGTAAGAAAACCTGAGGGAGCCGCCGGACACGGAAGAGTGGTGGTGCTGCTAGCAACTACACGTCCCACAGAGGGTTCAGCCAAGGCGACAGTGACTGGAGTGCGCAGTGGTGTGAGGTCGGTACAGTCGCGAAAGAAACAGCTGGACGCTCCAGAATCTAGGGTGAAGGAAAGCTGTGCAGTCTGTGGGGTCGCACCCGAACCAGCTACAAAGGCTAGTGCTAGACTAGTGGTAGCTGCAGCTTCTACACAAAGACCCTCAGAGGCGCCGGGACTGGAAACAACACACGCACCAAGACTGGAAACACAGGTCTCTACTCGTGCAGCCGGAAAGGGTCCTAGACCAGGCAGGTGAGACTCAACTGGTGCAGTAGTGCGCTGGCGAAGGCGCGAAGGCCAGTGCGGTGTAATAGCGTGAGGACCAAAACGCTCACGGTGGAGGTCGTCGAGTCGACGGTAGCAGCTGGACGCAGTGTGGTCAGGACTCCAGCAGGTAGTGCCAGCACCAGGGCCTGTCAGGGCCCGGAACCCGCAGGGGCCGACGTCTCGCCCACTGCTAGCTGAGCCACTGCTGGGGGCGCCACACTTTGGACCCGCAGGCCCCAACTGACGGGAGTGCTGCGGCTGGCCCTGCTGCTGTAGAACCCTAGTACATGCCATGTGAGCCTATGCTGCTACTGGTTCTGCTGAGGGCAGCCTAAGCTGCTGCTGGTGCGCTGGGGGCAGCCTGTGCTGCTTCTGGTTCTGCTGAGAGGCAGCCTAGGCTGCTACTGGTTCTCCAGGGGGCAGCCAATGCTGCTGCTAGTGCGCAGGCAGTTGCCTAAGCTGCTGCTGGTGCGCTGGCGGTAGCCTAAGCTGCTGCTGGTGCGCTGGGGGCAGCCTATGCTGCTGCTGGTTCGCTGGGGGCAGCCTATGCTGCTGCTGGTTCTGCTGGTTCTGCTGGTTTTGCTGGTTCTGCTGGTTCTGCTGGTTCTGCTGGTTCTGCTGGTTCTGCTGGTTCTGCTGGTTTTGCTGGTTCTGCTGGTTCTGCTGGTTCTGCTGGTTCTGCTGGTTCTGCTGGTTCTGCTGGTTCTGCTGGGGGCAGCCTACGTTGCTGCTGGTGCGCTGGGGGCAGCCTATGCTGCTGCTGGTGTAGCTGGCGGCAGTGTAATCGGCTGGGGCTACTGACGGCGGGTGTGGTAGGTCGTGGGGAGGCAGGTTTCAGGTGGGGAAGCTGTTAAGGCAGCGGGCTACGGGTGAGGCGGCGGTTCTGTGCAGTTCTGTGCGGTTATGTGCAGTACTGTGCGGTTCTGTGAGGTTCAATGCGGTGGAGAGGACTGGGTGGGGCAGCTGATTCCGGGTGAGGTGCCTGGAACGGGTGGGGCAGCAGGTTTCCAGGTGGGGCGGCGGTTGTCAGGTCTGGGGCGGTGGTTTTCAGGTGGGGAAGCTGTTAAGGCGGCGGGTTTCCAAGTTCGGCGGCGGTTTTCAGGTCTGTAATGGCGGGTTTTCAGGTCTGGGGGGCGGTTAAGACGGTGGGCTGCACGTGCGCGCGGCCGCGACGTACTAGCGCGAAGCTGCGGGTGCGACTAAGGCTGCGCGCGCAGCTACGCGCGTTCGTCTGCTGCACGCTAGAGGGCTGGGGGGAAACGCGCGGGGTAAAACGAGTGGGGCGCGGGGCAGAAAACGAGTGACGCACGGCAAAAAACGGGTGGGGCGCAGGGCAGAAACGGGTGACGCGCGATGTCGACGGGGGGGCGCGACCTACTCGGGCTCTACGGGGCAGGGCGCTTCGGGCTATGGGTCGCTACGAGGCGCGCGGGTGGTGGGCCCATAGACTATCGAGAGAAATTTCGCCTAAGGAAAAAATCGCCTAGGGGAAAAATCGCCTAAGGGAAACCTAGCTCTATACCATGTTACGATAAGAATGAATTGATAGAAAATGTGAAGTACAACCCTAGATATAGCAAACCCTAATCATGCAAGTAAGTAGAAACGTAACACCTAGACTAACCTAAACAACACATATAAAATATATGTTGACACATCCTGGCGTGGAGAACGACACTGTGTTGGCACTTTACAGTGCCGCTCACGGTGACGACATGGCAGATCTGGTGGGGTGCATGCGGGCTGCGAGAGTGACGGCTGAGGCTGTGCAGGTATAATGACGTTAAAAATACGGATACCCTTGGGCTTGGTTCTTTCAGTACCAATACACTATGCGTTTATAAAGTGTGCACTATACCATGATGGCTCACGCTGACTGTGTGTGTTGTGTCGCAGGCACACACCGCAGTGGCGATTCCGCGCACTCGTGGCGGCGCGCTGGTGGCGAAGGGCACGTTTGTGAAGTCAAGCCCGGGCGAGAAGTGGTTCTCTGACGTCGCCCTGCTAGCACCTAAGCGTGGAGAGTGGTTCGCAAAAGTCCTCTGCATTTTCAAGGTGGCGGTGGAAGGGGGAGAGCACAAGGGCTTCATGTACGTGAGGTATTTTGAGAGAGCGGGTGTTTGCCCACTGACCACCTGCATCCAGCTAACTCCACACCGGAAGGAGACACGGTTCGCCGTGGTGGAAGTGGCGTCCATTCTTCGAGTGGTGCACATCTGCCGCTCGTTCAGTAACCCTAAGGTGCTGCTTGTCAACGAGTTCTTGGTGTGCGAGTGAGCATGTGAGGAAGACATGGGTGCTGACTTGCTGAAGTAGACACGACCTTGCAGATTTTTTGTTTTCCAGGAGTAGGTTAGCATACATTTTGCACCATGCTGGCCCATTTGTGCCTAGGGTGTACCTGGCCGGTGGACAGGTAAAGGCTGTGCGTCGTGGTAGTTGCACTAATCCGGACAACGAAGGGTTGATGTCAATCTATTATAAAACGAACATCCATTCATTGTGTGCTTTGTAAAGCACCCAAATTTAATTGTTCGGTGTTTTTGTGCTAGTCGAGTTCTGCTAGGTGTATACCGAGTATACTGTAGTTTACAGGATGTGCACACGAAGCGCGGTATACAATACGCCAGGAGTGGATGTCTGAGGACTTGCTGATGTGACAGGCTTTGCAGGGAAAGAAGCCACGTTGGCAACGCGAGTGCGTTACCGAGTGGTCCGCGTCTGGCAGTAATCTATAGCAACCAATGCGAACACTCGAATGCTTCAAAGTGATGGTGAGCTGGAAGGACACTGGTACTGGACACCACATGTTGTCTGGCTCCGTACGTGCCCATTGTGTGGGCCGAGTCTGTATCGCGCGGACACCTGCTGCGGTTGGGGCAACCGGGAATTGGACTAAGTAGGGCTGCATCTGGTCGGGAGTTAACATTTCTGCTCTCGTTGTTAGCCTTGTTCAATTAAGAGACACCTCAGCATGACTGCAGTCGTAACTTTGCTCCGCGAACTTAAGGCACACCCGGACAATGTGTACATCTTTGCGGAGTTCCCGTTCATACCTAGCAGGCTGCCCGTCTCGCCTTCGATGGACGAGACACTCGACATAGCGAGGGAGTGGCATATGCCCGTGTGCTTGCTGTTCAACGCGTCGGGAACGGTGCGCCGACCACTGGTGGTACTGAGGTGGGACGACGACAGGCCCGTCCACAACGGGCGGAAGCATGAGCACAAAGTGGTGGTGCGCTACGCGAAGAACGGGCGCATGTCTTCGGAGGTGAGCTTCCACAAATTTTATATGCAGCCCGCATGGAGGGGCCTCATTGGTCGTTTGTGTTGTGTTGTTGTGCGCTAATGTTAGGACTGGTGTGCGCGATTTACATGTTTTCTGGCAGCTGTTTACGGAGCACATGGTGAAGTTCGACGGGGACATTTACGCGTTCGATGAGCGGGCGGTCGTCCTTGTTTACGACCCGAAGCATGTGCTGACGGGGTGTGTGTGGAAGCCAGAGAACGTAGCTGGATTTGTCGCGCAGAACCTGACAAGCATTAAGGTGGTGCAGCTGTGTGGAGACACACCACGGTGCAGCATCCCTGCTCTGACCGGAGTGGTGGACACGGTGAAGGCGGTGCACAGCTACTGGTTTATGAAGGAAGCGTTGGATAGCGAGGACTGGCGGAAGAAGGGGGTTATCCCGCGCCCTCCGTTGTACGACATTCTGAGCACACTGGACCTCGCGTGCAAGATTACGTCGAACTCGGCGGTACAGCGGAGCTGGTGGCGTGCGGGGTGTGTCCCCAAAGAGTCGGTGCCTTACATGAAACGGCTGGATGGTGCTGGGGCGGCATGCATGTTCGAGCCTATTATTTCGGAGCTTACAATGCTGCAGATGGTGATTGAGAACTTCAAGAAAGCCCCTGGTGTGTACATGACAGCGTGTGATTTCGCGGGGTGCGATGAGGATCTCCTGACGAGGTGGGGGCAGTTAATCGTGGACGATGCCGCGTGCGAGGAGGAGGTACCAGCGTACTTTTGTATTCCGGAGGGGCCACTTTTGCGTGACGTTCGCAGCCGTCGCCGCGTTGTGCGCATGGTGGCGGGGGAGTATACTAAGCACGCCGGTCACATTGGTATTCCGGTGCGCGAAGTGCCGGAGGAGGTGGGCGCGTACAACGAAGAGGTGGTGAGCCGTCGGCGCCGTACACCTATCAAGCGTAGCCGGGTATGCGGTGTACACGCAGAGTCTACCTGCGATTCGGCCGGACGGATTGAGCAGACTGGTGACCCGGCTGCTGGGCAGCCGGGCAGCGAGGTTGATAATGGTGGTAGCGAGACTTCTGAGTAGTTGATCCATCAGTGAGGATGCCGGTGTCGCTTGGAGGCGTAACAGCCTGTTGTGGAGTGGCTCTTGTTTGTACGCCTTGCTTGTTTGTGTGACCTGTTTTAGTGGCCCACGTTTACAGAAGTAGCACAGCAATGCAGTCCTTACTTCATTATTTCACACTTGCATCATGCTGACTTGGGTACTTGGTGCTCACATGCACTTCGTGCGTCAGATAGCGGGTGCTTGCCTTGTATACACAAGGGGCACTGTGGGTGCGGTACCTAAACCCATGGTGCTTTGTTTGTGATGGGTGGCTTTTTCCCGTGTACCATATATCAAATAATGTAGCTGATTTTGGTCATCGTTTTACGAGCATATATGTGTGCAGATACAAAACCCTTTGCAACACAGAAAGGGACATGGGAGATGCAATGTCGAGTATGCGTTTCGACGCATTGAGCGAGCCACGCATTTTCGAGCCTGTGCTACCATTGCAGTACGGTTTCACTTTCGTGGACGGAGAAGTGCTGTTTCCCGCCAAAAACGGCGCGACGCGGGATGCTCGTACGTGAATACCTGGTGCGCATTGCGGATCCCGGTAGACGTTTTTTGGATGCTTAAGGATAGAAATCCGCAACTTTTTGGAAGAGTAACCCGTTTTCCGCAACTTGGTCCAAAAACCTTTTCCGCGATGCCGCTCTTACGCAGCAAGCGTAAGCGAGCGTACCCCACTCACAGTAAAAGATCGCGCGTGTCTAGTAAGTGCTGACTTACTAAGCGCGGAACTTGGAGCTAGTGCTGCGATGGGCAAGAAGTGTACGTACCGCAAGCGTGGTACACACTGCTTTCGGCGACAGTGCTGCTGGGTGTGCGCATGTGAGAAGTGCTGACTACGCTTCGTGATGGCCAACGCGGATGATGAGACGAGCAGGTCTGCACTTCCGATGTTCTCCTAGCCACGCCACGCGCTCGGAACGGTATCTGCTGAGAAAGCCACGGGGAAACACGTGCCTAGCTGTGTGAGTCCATGACTGAATGTTTTGGACGGTTCTGAATGTGTATGGTGACGTGGCGAACTGTCTTGTCTTCATATCAGAACCCTTTCTCGTTGGGCCCTGCGCGTTTAGTTGAGAAGATTATAACAACGCGCGGCACGTGTTTATTCGTCTGCAATGCTGCTGCTTGCTTGCTTGGAAGGAGAGCAAATGGGAGAGTTGTAGTGCCTGCTGCACAGCAGTGGCTCGTTGTGTGTGGTTGGATCGAGAGGATGGGGCGAGGAGAGGATGGGGCGAGCATAGCATGGGGGGGAGGGGAGAGAAGCGCGAAGGAGATCAATCAATCAAGATCTGCTGCGCGCTCCAGGTGGGCCCGTCAAATCGGCTTGATCGCGGAAAGTTTTCCTCCAGCACACGGATTCGGAAGTTTCGATCGAAATTTTGCTATGGCAGATTGAGGGGAGAGTGTGCGGCTCGGGTGCTGCTGATGCGATCGCGTGAACGAACCGGGCGCGGCAAAAAATTGCCAATTCAAGGATAACTCGGAAACGATGCTGATGTGCCTGCCATCGGTTGGCCAGAAACGGTGAACCCAAGCGTTTCCGAAAAGCGTGGACTGCGGGGGCACAACTGTGCTACACGGTGGTGAAGCAGCCTATAATAATAGCCAGCGTGTCGTGGTACCAGTACGTGGCAGTCCAGTGCGTACAATTTTCAAGCATTTGGTTGGCCCTCCCAGGCTGCATGTGACATCTCTGCAAAATGCGTCTTGTCGCCTTGTAGACATGCATTGCTTCGATATGTCAAGCATATGTGAGAACATAAACCGCAAGAGAAGGAAGGGTGTAAGGAAAATTCCTTTTCCTTACTTCGCGCCCCTGCTTACCGCGTACATAACCGTTCCCGCCATCAGCACCCATCCATGCACGTTACCCGTTCACGACACTCGCCTCGACCACGACTCCCGCCACTGTTCACGACGCGACCCAACCTAACGGTTCGGTTGGTAACCCGCGCTCCGGACCTCCGCCTCGACAATTCTCCAAACCTCGGCGCAAGGCCCGTAGCGCACCTCAATTTCCCACTTTACCGTTACCACTGTAGTTTCGCTATATATTCTTCACTAATGCCTTCGCTCATTGTACTTTTTGCTTCGATAGTGCAATTCTCGCTCGCTCACTCAATTGCACTCGTAACACTTGGTATTCAGAGCCTACGATCTCTTCTCGGACCGCACCCACACCTTCGCTTCCCCACTATCTCAATTTTTTTGGGGGGGTAGACGTCTCTCAGCGAACAAGCACCGCCGCTCGAAGTGCTCTCTCGAAAGCACGCACGGCCACGACCGAGGCTCTCGCTGAGCTTGCCCGACACCCCCGCCATGGCCGAATTTACTCTCGCGACACTGACGCAGGAGCAACTCGACCGTCTCGTGCGCCAAGTCGAGGATTCGGCGCTCGAAATTGCGACGCTCACGGCGGAACGTGACTCCGCGCGTCAGCAATCCACGGTGAATACTCCAGCACCACCACACGCACCTGCAAATGTACCCGCACAATCGGAGGAGCCGATCGTCATTTCATCCGGCACACCAACACAGAACGACAGCGTGGGACAGCGCTCAGGCGCAGCCAGTGATGGCGCCGCTCACTCGATGCCTGGCATGGAAAGGAACAGGGTCGCACCAAGCCCGCAGGAGCCTCGTGAAGCCCGTCGGCACGTGGAATTTGCGGCGACAAGTGGCGACCACGCCAGCATGGCACCAACGCCACTCAAGCCGCAGCGCCCGCCTTGCTTCGACCCGAGCCAACGTGGAGGTCCGACGGTTCAGTCGTGGGTCTTCACGATGAACGTCTTCTTCGAGGTGAACTACGTCGAGTCGGACGCAGCGAAGATCAGATACGCCGCCTCGCTGCTGAGGGGCCCCGCCATGGACTGGTGGCGAGTCATCGTGACGTCGCCACGCGCCTACAAGCCACCGTCGCAAGAGGAAGGGCCCACGGGCTCAGCTGTCACCTGGAGTTCATTCTGCGAAACCGCCCAATACAGCACGTGGGATGCGTGGTGCGCAGGGCTTCGGGCGCGCTTCGAGCCGATCGCGGCTTCTATTTCGGCGCGTCAGAAACTGCGTACTTGGCGGCAGCTCGGATCGGTCCAAGAATACACGAGCGGTTTTCTCGCATTATGCGAGCAAGTCGGCTATATGCACGAAGCGGAGCGGGTGGACCGTTACGTCTGTCAGAACATTATAGCTTATGCTGTTGTGTAGGCTATAGTGGGGTATCCCATAGGGGGTACAACCAATTAGGGTTTCATATTTGTACTCACTTCATTTCATAGTTCATCCATTCTTGTTCAAATCTTCTCAACGTCGGAGGGCTGAAGCCGGACAGCTCGCACGAAATCATGCTACGCGGACTCTCGAATTTCAACGAGATTCTCGCGCTCGCCGAGAAAATCGACATCGTCCGAGACCGGGGTCCTACTACGGACATCGCCCTCGGGGACCAATCGAGCACGCCACTGTACACGCTGTTGCGACGAACGCAGCTGCCGCGCCGTTTAAGGGGCGCTGCTTCGCTTGCAATAGGCCGGGCCATCGTAAGAGTGAGTGCCCAGAGGAGCTGAGGCGCCGCGGAGCAGAGCAGGGGAGGGAGTCTCTAAGGCAGGGAAACGCCAGCAGTCAGTAGGAATCGGGCCAACTACTGACGAGACTGCCTGCTCGCCCAACCACACCGACCCTCACCGAGTCACAGTACCGATTCGCGCTATCGGTCGGGCTCGGATGAATAAGGAGGGTACAGCGACGGATTGCCCAGTACTGATTCACGGAAAAATACAGGGAGCAGCAGTGAAGATTTTTATCGACGGAGGCGCAAGTCACAGCTTAGTTAATACCGCGACCGCACGAAAACTACAACTGACACTGAGTCGGTGTTTACCGGAGATAGACGCACGCTTAGTTGACGGCACACCACTGGCCATACGGGAAAAAGTGGAGAGAGTAAAAGTCCGTTGCGGGGGGAACTTCGGTTTTACACAGGAAATGCTCGCGACGACACTGGATGGGCACGACATTTTACTGGGACGTGACTGGTTGCGATGGTATAACCCGCGAATTGACTGGACGACGGGTAGCTGCACTGTGCGAAGTAGCGGTAACTGGGTGTCGCTACCACGCTGGCGGTCGCCCGAGTCTTCAACGGTCCACGTCAACGCCATCACGATGAAACGGGCTGTCGCCACTGGAGCTGACGTGTACGCAGTGGATATAGCATTGATAGGAGAAGCAGAGCAGCCGAGTGATTTTCAGAAACTGCTGACAGCGGTACCGCCCGAACTGCAGGAGCTATTGAAACGGTACCCGGGGATTTTTCCCGACGACTTACCGGAGGGACTGCCACCTCAGCAAGCACACGACCACCGCATAGAGTTAGAACCCGGGGCACAGCCAACCGTACAGCGACAGTTCAGACTGACACAGCCCGAACTCGATGAGCTGAGGAAGCAGTTAGACTACCTGTTAGAGAAAAAATTGTTAAAGTTTAGAAGAAAGAAGAAGGAAGAAGGGGGATGCACTAGCAAGAATGGGGATACAAATAGGAAACCCTAGAAGGGTTGTACTCGCTATAGAGCACCCCACTACAGGCTAGAGCATAAGATAACATTCTGACACACCCCCATAGCCAAAGTGGGGTGTAATCAGCAGAGTAAGCAAAGGAGTACAAGCTCAGGGTGGATCACAATGTCACCACACATTCTGAGCACAAGTTCAAGAAGCAATAGTTTAAGTTCACAATTATGAGCAAAGCTAGTGGTAGTCACAACGGGCAAGTGAGGAGGAGGAGAGAGAGTGAGAGGAGAGGAGATAGGAGGCGACGGCTGAAGCTGCAGACACACAGGCAACAGGAGGCAGACTGGCACAGCGGCTACCGGACGAAGTCCCCGGAATACAGGAGTAACAGGCCCCGCGGCTAAAGTAGCGGCAGACGAGCAACGGACCCACGGGCGGCTGGCACAGCTGGCTACGACTGGGCTACCGGACGAAGTCCCCGGAATACAGGTGCTGCTGGCGACACGACGGCAACCTCCATTCAGCTTCCCCAAACTATCCCACTCCCCCCTGGCACATACCCGCTGCTACACCGCTAGCTCCACTCCCCCTTCACCCCCCCTTAGTACCACTCCACCGGCTCCAACACGTCCACCCCCCCTCAGCGGCAGCTGCAGCACAGGGAGACGGAGGAGGAGGAGGAGCAGGGAACAGTACACAGTGGGTGCACCCCCATACCCCGCACCCCCAAACCCTAATACAGGAGAATGGGGAGTAGGAGGGGTGGGGCACGAGTAGAAGCGCTGGGGGACAGTAGGGAGGGCAGGGGCAGCAAGGAGCGGGCCCACCACGGGCCTGGTAGGGTCGCCCGAACCGCGCGTAGGCGGCCTGAGCCGCGCGCGGGCCTGGCGCCGCCCGTACGGGCCGCGCGCGGGCCTGGCGCAGCCCGTACGGGTGGCGCGCGGGCCTGGCGCAGCCCGTACGGGTCGCGCGCGGGCCTGGCGCAGCCCGTACGGGTCGCGCGCTGGCCTGGCGCAGCCCGTACGGGTCGCGCGCTGCCTGTACGGGCCGCGCGCAGGCCACGACGGGCGACGGGGGGCGACGAACGGGTCCCCGTCGCCCGTCGCGGCGCCTCCCGAGGGCGACGCGACGGTTGACGGGGCCGAAGCCCGCCGCGCGCCTCGGGGCGCACAGCGGGCAGAGAACCGCCGCGCGCCTCGGGGCGCACGGCGGGCAGAAAACCGCCGCGCGCCTCGGGGCGCACGGCGGGAAGAAAACCGCCGCGCGCCTCGGGGCGCACGGCGGGAAGAAAACTGCCACACGCCACGGGGCGTGCGGCACCGAGTGTAGTGGTAGGAGTTGCAGCGGAAGCTAGGAGGTGGTAAGCCCACCCACAGGATCGATCCAAGGGGATCGACCTGCTCTGATAGCATGTTAAAGTTTAGAAGAAAGAAGAAGGAAGAAGGGGGATGCACTAGCAAGAATGGGGATACAAATAGGAAACCCTAGAAGGGTTGTACTCGCTATAGAGCACCCCACTACAGGCTAGAGCATAAGATAACATTCTGACAAAAATTCATCCGACCGAGCTCGTCACCGTTCGCCGCACCGATACTGTTCACACCGAAAAAAGACGGAGGGTTTCGCATGTGCATCGATTACAGAGCACTGAACCGGGTAACAGTCAAGTCGCGATACCCCATTCCCCGCGCTGACGAACTGATCGACCAGCTGCGAACAGCACGGGTTTTTTCGAAAATATATTTACGGGGAGGTTACCATCAGATTCGGGTCGAACCATCAGACTGCGCCAAGACAGCATTTAGGACTAGGTACGGGTCATTCGAGTACACCGTGATGCCATTCGGGTTGACCAACGCACCAGCAACATTTCAGATGACCATGAACGAGGCGTTTAGGCCACTTTTAGATAAATGCGTGATAGTTTACCTCGACGACATCCTAGTCTACAGTCGTGATAAGCAGCAGCATTTAGCAGATCTGGAAGCAGTGTTTAATGTTTTAGACGAGCACAGACTACTGACCAAGGGTTCCAAGTGCGAGTTTTTTCAGGACAGGTTAGAATTTTTAGGACACGTTATTTCTGAGGCTGGGGTTGAAATCGACCCAAAGAAGCTGGACACGGTCAAAGCGTGGCACCCCCCGACAAATATCACGGAGCTGCAGAGTTTTTTAGGGTTCGTTAATTACGTGCGTCGGTTCGTCCCCGACATGGCGCAATTGACAGCCCCACTGACGGATCTGCTGCAGAAGGGGGTCCCTTTTACGTGGGGGGAGAAAGAGCATGCTGCCTTCTCTGCCCTGAAAACTGTTCTCTGTTCACCGCCCGTACTGCGCATCGCTGACCCACACCGCCCCTTCGAAGTCGTAACCGACGCAAGCGACATCGCCATTGGAGCCGTACTGCTACATGATTTCGGCAACGACCTACAGCCCATTGCCTACGAGTCACGAAAGCTGCATCCGCCCGAGAAAAATTACCCGATACACGACCGCGAAATGCTCGCAATCGTGCATGCGTTCAAGGTCTGGCGCTGTTACTTGACCGACGCAGACGTGACAGTACGGACAGACCACCGATCCCTACATTACCTCCGCGCACAGCCCCACCTCAACCCACGACAGATCCGCTGGCTCGATTTCCTCGAGTCAAACTTCCACTACACGGTCACCTACAAAAAGGGAGCATCCAACATCGCTGACGCACTGACCCGCCCCACTGCCCAAATCCACGCGATACTACTCGCCCAGACCAGCCCGCTACTGACAAGACTATTTACCCACGGGTACCAAACGGACCCATTCTTCACAGGAGGAAATTCGCAGCAGTTCGCAGCAGCCAAGGGAGTCTATTACGTAAAAGCCGGGACCGACCGCATCTGGGTACCAGGGTACACACTGCTACGGGAATTACTGTTACAGGAGGCACACGACGGAGTTACCTCGGGGCATTTCGGGGTAGAGAAAACACGGCAGCAGCTGCAGCGGTATTACTATTGGCCCGAGATGCTGACCGACGTGCAACGACACGTGGCATCGTGTCCCACCTGCCAGCTCATGAAGTCGTCACGACAACGACCGGCAGGACAGTTGCAGCCGATACCACCCCCAGAGCGTGCTTGGCAGCAGGTGACGATGGACTTCGTCACGGGGTTACCGGCTGGAGCAAGTGGGAACGACGCGATCTTGGTCGTCGTCGATCGGCTGACGAAAATGGCACACTTCGCAGCATGCAAGAAATCAATCACAGCCGAAGAAACAGCTCGCCTCTTCATCGCCACCATCGTTCGATTACACGGGATACCAGCAGCGATCATCAGCGACCGCGACACGAAATTCACCAGCAACTTCTGGCGGAACCTGTGGCAGCAGTTCGGCACGCGACTGCAGTTCAGTTCATCATACCACCCCGAAACCGACGGACAGACAGAACGGACAAATCAGACCATGGAACAGCTCATCCGGGCCACGTGCGACGACCCGACCACGTGGGAACAGCAACTGCCACTCATCGAGTTCGCATACAACAACTCGCCATCCGCCACGACCCAACAGTCACCGTTTTACCTGAACTACGGACAAGACCCCACAGTACCCATGACCCCGAATCCCGACAACCCAGTCCCACGCGCGCAACAGTTCGCAGAAATACTGCAAGCAGCACGGACCCGAGCAACCGAAGCAATAAAAAAATCAAACATCATCGCTAAACGCAACACTGACCGCCACCGCCGACCTGTCACTTACCAGCCAGACGACCTAGTTCTACTCGACACTCAAAACCTCCGCCTGCCCATCACCCCAAAACTCCGCCCCCGATATTGCGGGCCATTTCGCATCAGCCACATGATCACACCCGTCACCGCCCATCTCCTCATCCCTGCTGACTGGTACGTCAGCCCGTCATTCCACGTCAGCCTGCTTCGCCCATACGTGCCATCCACCAGCCAACTGCCTCGCAACCGCCCCGCCAGCATGACACGGCCGCCGACAGAGCCAATCATCACGCCTGAGAAAATACTGAGCCACCGAGTACGTGACCCACGGGGAGCCCGCAGAATCGAATTCCTGATCCGCTGGAAAGACCGCACGCCCACCGAGGACAACTGGGTCCCCTTGGATAGAATTGAGAATCAGCCTGTCCTCACTGACTATCTGCGCAGCCGAAACTTCCGAGATGTACACGCGCTCTCGTAAGAGGGGCCTCCTTGGGGAGGGGGGTAGTGTAAGGAAAATTCCTTTTCCTTACTTCGCGCCCCTGCTTACCGCGTACATAACCGTTCCCGCCATCAGCACCCATCCATGCACGTTACCCGTTCACGACACTCGCCTCGACCACGACTCCCGCCACTGTTCACGACGCGACCCAACTTAACGGTTCGGTTGGTAACCCGCGCTCCGGACCTCCGCCTCGACAATTCTCCAGACCTCGGCGCAAGGCCCGTAGCGCACCTCAATTTCCCACTTTACCGTTACCACTGTAGTTTCGCTATATATTCTTCACTCATGCCTTCGCTCATTGTACTTTTTGCTTCGATAGTGCAATTCTCGCTCGCTCACTCAATTGCACTCGTAACAAAGAGTAACAGAATAAAGCAAACAAAGGTACGGTATCAAAAGTAGCACAACTCATATAAATATAAGCTATGTGATGGGATTTATGAGGAAAGCAAAAGAACCACTGTGTTCATTGAGATGGAGCTGCATCAGGGAGGCTGCATCAATTTCCAAGTCTAGTATTCACACGGCCTGAAAAATAAAAACCAACTGATTATTTACCCTTTCTTTGAACCGACCCTCGTAAGGTATGAGAAGGGGAATGATTCTACTGAAAGTGCTATAAACAGCTAGTATGAATTAAATACATTATACCAGTATCCTTTGGTATTTGATCGTTACTGAGCCGGTTCCAACCATGACCTTCCTGTCCTCCGCGAGGCCACAATCCATTCATGCTCTGCAAAACAGCCACACATTGCATCACAACTGTCAGTCTCGCTACAAAATCAGACAATAACCATATTTCAAACCACATAGCTCACGTAAACCACCTCTCCGCTCCCCCCACCTCACCCCTCCCTCGACACAAGGCTACAATGCTCAGCTCATCGCTTTACAAAAGAAACATCAAGTGAAGTTACAACTCACCAAGAATCTCGTCCACAGTGATTCGGGTGCTGGGGTGAGCAGAGAGCATGTGAATGATGAGATGCTTGGCTGGTGACGACAGCTCCTGCCACCTCCGGCAATGGCTGAACCCCCTCCTCTTCGCCTCCACCACCCTCCGCCACACACCCTCTTCAGCTGCTGCTCTCTCCTCCCCACTGCTGCTACCCCCACTGCCTTTCCTGCAGCTGCTGCTGGAATTGGCAGGTCTATCTCGCAGGTACGGAGTCTGCCCACAGAGCATCACGAAGAGCGTAACACCGGCACTCCACACGTCGCACTCACAGCCATATGCCCCTGAAAACACCTCAGGAGCCATGTACTCTGCCGTGCCCACCACCTCCGAAAGAGCAACACCCGGAGCCATTCTCACCGCGACTCCAAAGTCAATCAGTTTGACGCTTTCGGTTGACTCTGGACACATGCTAAACACGGCTCCTGAGGCGTCCGCGTTATAAGCACTGCTCGATATAAGCACGTTTTCTGGTTTGACGTCACGGTGCACGATGCCATGCGAGTGGCAGTGCTGCAAGGCCAGCATGAGCGATCGGAAGATGCGCGCCGCGGAAGCTTCCGAGAGCCTTCCGTGGGAGTCAATGCGGTCAAACAGGTCTCCCCCCTCACAGAGCTCCATCACCACGTGCACGTGCTGCAAGGGAAGGGAAGGGGGGGAAAGTAAAGGGGGGCAGGCGGGGATAAGGGGAGGCATAGGAAAAAGGAGAAGAAAGGGGCAAAAGGGCAAGGATGAGTGTTATTGACTAAGCGCACGTGTTTTAAGTGAGAAACGGGGTTATGGATGGGAATCAGAATGGGTAAAAAAAAAACACACACACACACACACAAAAACACTAGAAACAAAACCACGAAGTGCGCAAGCTAGATTTTCACTATTCATGAAATAGCAGGGAAAATGTTATTTACCTTGTTCGTCTCCGCAGCCTCCTTGATCTGAATAATGTTGGGATGGCCCTCGAGTTCTTCCATGAATGCCACCTCATTACGCACTGCCTCCACGTCAGCAGCGCTCTGCACAAGGGGACGACCAAGTCAGGGGAAAGATTAATACGAGGACACAAGCAATGTGGGTGTGCACGGGCTGACCTGGCATCAAGAGAAAGTAGGATGGGTTCGGGACAAGGAGGGCAGGGCAAGGAATTCAGGGCAGACAAGATTAGTGCCGTACCTGAATGGCGGACTTTCGAATGCTCTTGCAGGCAACGATCTCCCCAGTGGTGCGATGCACGCATCTCCGTATCACGCCATACTGCCCCCTGCCTATCTCCTTCCTCAGCAAAAGCCACTGCCGCCGAATGTCTTCCACTGGCCGCCTCAACACCTCCCCCACTTGCACCTCCCCCACCTCCGCCTCTGATTGAGTGGTCGTCAGTTGCTCGGCGGCCCGGGTTGCAAGGCCCCACCTCGAACCCGATTCTGCTTCTTTTGCGCATGATTGCAAGGGTGTCAACGAGTCGTTGACTGGTGTAACTCGGTTGACTGCGTTGACCTTGTTGAGAGAGTTGACTGCGTTGACCTGAGTGAGTAGGTCAACGGAGGACGAAACGAGCCCATCAGGAGCGTCACGGAACCACTGCCGCAGCAGCGACCGCCGCTGCTGCCGCCCCACGCCCACTCGCACCGCTACTCCCTCGAATGACACGTCGTCATGCTGCGTCGTCTCGAAGGGATTCCAATTCTCGCGTCGCATGTGCTGCGGCAGTTGCTGGGATTCGAGCTCTCGCAGACCCACGGCGCGCGTCTGCACGTTAACCGCCGAGGGGCGCATTGAAATCGGGGGTGTCGATGATAATGACGATGGCGATGGCGATAATGACGAGGGTCTTTCACGGGCGCCGACGGATGATCCCCGCTCGCCAGAGCCGCTGGTGGCGGCGGGCGCGGGTGCGGGTGGGAGGCGGTGCGCGGCGCGGCGGAAAGGCGGAGAGTGGGAGAGGGAGGGGGGGCTGGGCGGGGATGCAGAGAGCGCGGGTGGGGATGCGGAGAAAGCGGGCGGGGAAGCGGGGAAGTCAAAGGTCGTTCTGGGACTGCCGCGTTGCTGCTGGCACTGACTCTGACGCTGCTGCTGCCGCCGATTTCGATATCCGTCACAATTATGCACGTGAGGGTCTCGATGCTTTTCGTGGTGACGGTAAACTCTGTCGTGCTGCTCATCATGGTGATCCTGGTAGTGGTGGTGGATGTACCGAGTGGTTGCGGCATTGGCGGCCGCGCAGGGACCATCACGCTGACTCATCACGATCAGATCGCGCCAGTCGTCACAAGCGGCACTAGCAGTAGTGGTACTAGCAATGCCGTCTGAACTGGCGGGTGAATTCATTATTTGATTGTCGGGTAAAAGGCTCCGTGCCCTATCTCTCGTAGCGGTTGAAGGAATTTGCGGTGATGATAGCCGACGCGGCGTCGCGCTCCGTCAGGTTCCGACTCTGCGCACGAAACGGCTGTTTGACGTGGCGGCGAGATCGATCAAAGCAATCCAAGCCAAGTGAATAGTAATCTTCGAATATCAGCTGAAGCGTTTGTTAGTACTAGATCCCAGCCTGCTGGTAGAGAATGACGGGGCGAACGTGGAAACTCGGAGGAGCAAGGCACGGCGGGAGCTTTCTGCTTTGCGGGAAGACTGTATTCGGAGAATCAGAGTGTGCTTAGAGCTATGCTTCCTCAGATCGGGGCTTTATACGAACCTCATGGTGGCTTGGGAGGGCAGGAGGATCCATCGAATTCAGATAAGCGACTCGTGTATCCGACGATATCTTTCGTCCCCGAAGCTCCGCTCCGCTCTTCCCTGAGGTACATCTCGACTCGAATATTTTTGAGCTACTACTACAGTACTGTGGTACTGTGGTAATCTGTTGCACTGTACAACATTCACTCTGCGGTGTTGTCGGCCACGCGAGCATCGGGATTGGCGCAAGGCGACGCAAAGCGGTGCGCGTGGAGCGGCAGGACTGCTGCTCGTCGCTTGGATAGCATAGCAAAGCAACGCCCGCCCGTTGATAATCGAGCGTGCGTCTGAACTTTGCGAGTCCATTTTGTGCCAACAGCGCGAAACCGCGACAACTTGCGAGTCACAACTTGCGAGCGGCGAACTCGCAATGGATCGCCAACGAGGCGAGAAGAGGGGCTGGGAATTTTTAGAGACAAGCTAGAGTTCTTGAATCGACGTGACAAGACAAGCCTTTCCTATGGACATATTGATGGAGGGACGGAAGGGCTAGGACGGACCGGGCCAGGGTGCTGGTTGTATTGTGTTGTTGAGCTGTATGCTCGTGGTGGATTTCAAAGCTTCAGCCGAAACACGGACGGCGGGGTAAGGTTGGAAACGGTTTCCCGGTTTTACGTTCGGTACAAACGAGATACGTGCTTGGTGCAAGCTGGATTCTTGGCTTGGTTGGGATTGGTGTTCGGATGGGAAAGATAAGGCAGTAATGCAGAGGAAGAATCCGACCTGGCGAACTTCGATGGTAACCAGCTTCACAGCCTTGCTTGCCAAGCGTGGAAGCTGGGGTGGAAATGGGCGGGGTAGTTTCGCAATGTACGGCTTGGAGTGCGGAAGGGCGAACTGTTGACGATGCCCGATTCCTCTTCGCAACTGGCGGCGAGGGTGCTTGGGTTTGCTGCTGTTCATCCACAGTACAAATCAGGGACCTGCGTGCTCGAGTCGCGGAAATTTCGCTAGCCGAAACCTACACGGATTGGTGGATGAGAAGTGTGGCGAGATGCAGGTTACCGAATCAGAAAGCATCTTGCCTCAAGATGCTGACTGGGCACGTGAAGGTATGCCACACCACCAAAAGCATGACTGCAGTGCAGTGCTGTAGCCACACTAGCAAGTCCATCCATCCACGCACGCGAAGGACCTTTTGTCGTCATTGGGCGTCAGCAAGGTTCGGGAAAGTTACCGTAGCTTCGGTGCAAACGTGTCATGGCGTCAGCAAGACTGACCCAAGCCATTTCATCAAGGTACGCCCGACCAACGACTCTCAGTAAAGAGATCTAAACATATGTGATGGAATCCATTATGAATACATACGGTAAAAGCAGAGAAATTGATATTTAGTATCTGCAAAAATCATTTGACACTAGAACATGTAGCCCACAACTTCTTCTTGCCCCCTCAACTCAACTCAACCCTTATGGCAGTGATTGACATGGCCATTCGATATGGAAAACTAAGGAGTCCACAAGATGTGCTTGGGCTAATGTACTCAAGCTTACAAAGTTATTTGAGCAAAGCCTCTTCAAGCCCTTCCTAATCAAAAGCCTGTCCCACCTCCCCAATCACATCATGTGAGCTCACATAACCTCTTAGCACTGTTTACTTGAATAGATGGCACTTCGTATTCAGTTAACAACACCCAGATTTCGCCTTCTCTACAGTAGCAGACCACCAAGCACCAGCCACCGAAGCCGGAAACCTTGCCCACCCAGTAAAGGGCCCCTGGTGAGCACCCTTCTCAGTCACAGTGAATGCACTGCTGTAGCGCGATACAGTCAGCATGGCAGCAGTTGTAGCATCCACAGGTGTGGGCACACCTGCCTTGAACACCCTCACATTGTCCAGGGTGAATTCCCCGCCTTGCTCTGGAATAGACCCGGAATACGTCGCCATCTGCCCATAATTCTCGGGCAGGTCCTCACCTTCCCCATCACCCGCTCCCGAGGGCAGCTTCACCGCCCGGACGGTCAAGCTGTAGAATCGAATCGGACCCACCCGGGCGGCGATCTCTGGATTTTCCACGTCGAGCTCTCGAGCCTCCACCACTCCCCACCCACCCAGACCCACAGAGGCCATGAGGCGGCGGAAATCCTCCAAGTAAAGAGCCCCGCTGAGACACTCGCCGAAGAGAACCTGCCAAAAGCACGTCACAGGGAGCAAGTAAAGGAAAAGACACGCGGTGAAGGGGTTAGCCACCACCCACCCGCCCAGAACCAGAGGCCATGAGGCGCCGGAAATCCTCCAGGTATCACTGAGGCACTCGCCAAAGAGGACCTGCCAAAAGCACGTCACAGGGAGTTGGTAATTGGGAAAACAGGCGGTGAAGGGTTTAACCACTATCCACTTGCCCAGCCCTACAGAGGCCGTGAGGCGACCGAAATCCTCCAAATATAGAGCATCGCTGAGGCACTCGCCAACTAAGCCTGCCCCCCTGCCCTCGTGCCCCCCTGCCCCCCTGCCCCCCTGCCCCCCTACCCCTCTGCCCCCCTGCCTCCATCCTGATTCTCACCTTGTCCTGTTGCAGGTGCTTGGGGATTCTGCGGTCGGCAAAGACATCCGAGAAGTAGAGCTCGCCGCCCGTCTTGAGCACGCGGGCGATCTCAGAAATCACCGGCACCTTGCTGGGGGCGAGGTTGATGACACAGTTGGACACCACAACGTCCACCGTGCTGTGAAAGGAGGGGAAAGCAAGAGAGGTGGGGGAGAAGAAGGGGTAGTTGCAAGCATAGCAAGAGTGAGAGAGAGAGAGAGAGAGAGAGAGAGAGAGAGAGAGAGAGAGAGAGAGAGAGAGAGAGAGAGAGTGCTGAGGTGGGATTGTGAGTTGGCCTTGCTGGGGGCGACGCAGTTAAACATCACCACGTGGAATGAGGGTGTTTTTGAGACGTCTCAAAAACACCCTCATTTCACGTGATGACGCAGTTGAACATCACCACGTCCACGGAGCTGCTGGGGGATGGATGGACGAAGGGAAGCAAACAGGAAGGGGGGAAGGGAGCAAGACAGTGCGGCATAAGCTGGGGATCACAGGTGTCTTGCTGGGGGCGAGGTTGACGACGCAGTTGAACATCATCACGTCCACGGTGCTGTGTTCAACAAGGGGGCGGGAGGGGGGGAGGTGCACGCAGGCAGGTGGGTCGTGAGTTGGTCCTGCTGGGGGCGAGGTTGATGACGCAGTTGAACACCACCACGTCCACGGAGCTGCGCAGGGAGCAAAGCAAGAAGGGGGAGCAATAAGAAAGGAGAAAAGGGTACGAGTTGGGCTGAAGAGGTGCCTTGCTGCGTATCAGAAGGTGGTGAAGGGGAGATAAGGAGGGGTATGGGGAGAGGGCGAAAAGAGAGGGGAAGGTTAAGGGAAGGGAAAGGTGGTGAGCGTGAGCGGATGGAGGATGAGGTGCACTTTGCAAGGTGCTCACAGACGTTCCCACCGCCAACCCCCCACTGCCAACCCCCCACCGCCAACCCCCCACTGCCAACCCCCCACCGCCAACCCCCCACTGCCAACCCCCCACCCCCTACCCCCCACCCCCAACCCCCCACCGCCAACCCCCCACCCCCCACCTCCCACCCCCCAAACCCCCACTCCCCACCCATCCACGCACCCTCCCACCCATTCACCCGCCCAACCAACCAACCACCCCCCTCTACCCACCTGTCCTCGACATTAGCAGCCCTGAGATCCTCTATGAATCCCTTTCTGAACGACACGTTGGACTCGGCGAATCCAAACTTCTCGCGGTGATACTCCTCGTGCTTGCGCGCCACTGCCAGCTGCTCGTCTGTGGGAAGGTGGAACGGGAGGGGGACGGGAGAGAGCGTGGGGAATGGAGCACAATGAATGGGGAGTATGCTTCTCGCGGTGATACTCCTCTTGCTTGCGCGCCACTGCCAGCTGCTCGTCTGGGGAATTAGAAAGAAGCGGAAGGGAAGGGGGAGCGAGGAGGGAGGGGGGGAGGGGAGGGATGGAAGGGAGAGGGGAGGGTGGGGGGAGGGAAGGGAGAGGGGAAGGGGGGAGGGAAAGGAGAGGGGAGGGGGGGGAGGGAAGGGAGACGGGAGGGGGGGGAGGGAAGGGAGGGGGGAGGATGGGGGGGGAAGAGAGAGGGCGAAGAGAGGGAGGGAAGAGAGAGGGCGAGGAGAGGGAGATCAGTATGAATGGGGAAGTTAGGATCCTGGCAATGCCTGGTTGTGTATCGATGCGCAGATGGGAGGAGGGGGAACCTGTCAGGGTTTGTCAGGGTTTCGCAATGACAATGGGGATGTGGGATTAAAGTTGAAGGAAGGAGGGGGGGGGGGGGAGGTGAAGTGAAGGGGTTGTTGGGAAAGTTATTCCCCCGGGATCATAATCACCCAGCACTTCGTTCCGTGTTCCGTTAATCACCCAGAGAATTTAATAATTAGCTCGCGTTCCGTGTCGGCCTCTCTCCCTACCCTCTCCCTCGTCCCCCTTACCCTCTCTCTCGCCCACCTAACCCCTCCCACGTCGTCACCCGTGCTGACCTGTCATGTCGATGCCGATGACCTGGCCTGTGGGGCCCACCAGCTGAGCTGCCACGTAGACATCCCTCCCGGTTCCGCACCCCAGATCCAACACCGTGCAGCCCTGCCGCAAGGGGAGAGGGAGAAGAGGGGACGGGAGGGGAGGCAAGAGAGTAGAGAGGACCGTTTAAGTTGACTCGCAAAACAGATCCAACACCATGCAGCCCTGCCGTGAGGAGAGAGAGGGGGAGAGGGGAGGGAGCGGGGAGGAGAGGAGGGGAGGGGAGGGGGAGGAAAGGGACATCTTTAGCGCACACCCGGATCCAGCACAGTCCATCGCAACACGAGGCGGTGGGAGTGAGAAGAGGTGAGGAAACGAAGGGGAGTTGGGAAAAGGGGAAACAGGGAGAAAAGGGAGGGAAACGGGGAACCATGGAGAAACGGGTGGAAAACGGGGAACCATGGAGAAAAGGGTGGAAAAAGGGGAACCAGGGCGATTAATGACCTAGGGACCCAGGGGAGCCACGGAGGTTAATGACCCTAGGGCTGGCACGCCCCTAGGCGACAAGTGCGGTCTCAATGCGTTTAGAGTCGACTCAAAACACACTTAGAGAGGTTACTGACCATGCTGGCTGGCGCTGAGTCGTTAAGTGACGTCTCAGTTCATGGATCGAACGACCGGTTAAATTGTCTTGTAACGGAGCAATACAAAAGAACCAGCTCAAAAGTCTTCTAACGAAGCAAAACGCGCGGGAGGAGAGATGCGGAGAGTATCCGGGCCAAGGAGCCGCTTAGATCAGTGTCACAGAAATGTACCTTGAGCAGGGGAGGGATGGGCGAACCACAGCCGTAGAATTTCGACAAGATCTCATCGTGAACGTTGCTGAGTAGGCGGCGAATGTCCGCGCCAAGACCGCCCTTCACCAGGCACGCTGACGTCTGCAGATCCGCCTGCTGCTGCACCGTCTTCCCGTAATACTCGCTCACGTCAGCATGCGTCACGTCGATGCCAGCGCCGGTTGCAGCGGCGGAAGGATCGGCGGACTTAGGACCGCAGCAGCTGCTCTTAGTAGGCTCGGTCGGAGCGGGAACAGCCTTAGGCCCGCAGCACCCGCTCTTAGCTTCAGTCGGAGCGGGAACAGTCTTAGGACCGGAGCAGCTGCTCTGAGTAGCTTCAGCCGGCGCTGGAACGGTCTTCGGCCCGCAGCATGATGAGGTCGCCGCCTTGGCTTCCGACGGAGCGGCGGAAGCTTTGGGCCCGCAGCACGACGTCGGTTTCGCGACGGTAGCGGTGGTTGCCTTGTTACAGCACGACATGACGAATGCGGTGACGAAGGGACGGCGGAAGAGTGAGGATTGAAGGGAACGAATCAAACATCGGTGATGGATTCTGGCAGCGTGAAAGGAAAATGGATCGGCTTGTGCTGTGTACTGCACAGAATCTGTGTGACAATCCCAAGGGGATAAAAGCGGAAAGGAGGGGAAACACAGATTGGCAGAAATTTCCCGTTTGTGCCTAAACCCTGCCTCGTCAGAAGGTCATGCGAATGTACACCCGGAAAATGATGTATAGCGAAACCCATTACACAGCCCAAGCACAATTGTGTGTTGCATGTAAGGCCACGAGAGCCTTGGGGAGGGTTTGGAGTGTGATGAGCACCACCCAGAAAACTCAGTGTGTGCCTCGTTTTCCCAGAAAGACACAAATGGTGACATACCCCAGGATATTACCAAGCAAGCAGAGAGTAGCCCGAACACTTCTGCATGAAATCTGTTTTGCCGACGATTCCAGATGCGCAAATGTCAGAACGGAACCTCCAGATTGCGGGTGTGGATGGAATAGATTCCGAATCGACGGCTACGGTTCTCACTGCGACGGGCGGGAACGTACACTGGATTGAACATATCCAACTCGTTTGGATGCCTGTGAGGTCTTATTGTTACATTCGGACAACAAACAAGTACATATGTAGGTTCTTAATGTAAAAGAATGTGTAGGTCCTCACATCTATTGTTGTCAGCCTGCTAAGTTCATTCAACGGATACATGCTTCATAATACAACTCATGTACGGATGGAAGAATTGACGAATCGATTTTTTAACTTTTGTTTTTCAAATGCTCAAGCTTCTTGAAGAGCCTCTCGAGCTCCATTCCCCACTCCTCCTTCACCACAATCGGTTCCAGATCATCCAACTCCACAGAGCTCAAAGCAGTCCGCCCACTCCCTCTCCCTCGTCCCCTCACCCCCTTCACCCTCCTCTGCCCCTCGTCATCCTCATCCTCACTACCAGAAGCAGTAGCAGCAGCAGCGGCCGCTGCGGCTGCAGAAGCAGCAGCTCTTTCTTCAGCCATTCGCTGCATGCCGGCCAAAACCATCTCGCCTGTGATTGGTGGCAGCTGTCGCCGAGGCCGAGACGAGGACGAACCATCCGAAATACCATCACCACCACTCTTCACCTCAGTGTCTACTGAAGACCAAACCTCCTTCCAGTCCTTCTCTTCTGTGCCTGACACGACACCCTTCCTTGCTTCCTCCCCATCCGCTTCACTTCCACTTTCGCTGTCGCTATCGCTGTCGTTCCCACTGGCATTGCCGGGTTTGCTTCTCCTGCTCCAACTCCTCCTGGTGCTTATGCTGCCAGAAGCACCAACAGCAACAGTGCCTGCCTTACCACCAGCAGTACTGCTGCCATTCTGACTGCCGCTGCTGGTTCTCTGCTTCTGCTTCAACTTCTGCTTCTCCTGTTGCTGCTGCTTATTCTGCTTATTCTGCTGCTTCTCCTGCTCCTGCTGACTCTCAACTTCCATCTTGGTGCCTGTTCTCTCTTCCGTTTTGCCACCTCTTTCCCATCTGGATGCACTGCTTTGCCCACTCTGCTTAGTCTCACCCCCACTCTCCTCGCCTTTTCTTGCACCCCCACTCTCCTTTCCACCCCCCTCTCTTGCCTTCTCCCCACGCCACCCGCTCCTGCTTCCTTTACTGCCAACCCCTGCTCCCTTTGCAATCACCCTCGACCCGTTCTCCTTCTCTCCTTTCTCCATCTCCTCGTTAACCTCCTCTCCTTTGCCTTCCTGTACTCTGTTCGCCTCTCCTCTCTCCGCCTCTCTTCTGCTTCTGCCAGCACCAGTTCGGCCCGCAACACCATTTCCAACGCTGCTCCCATCAGCACTCTCAACCCTGCGACCTTTCCCCATCTCACCCTCTTCCTCCCCCCTTTCAGCCTGCTCCTCCGGATCATCCCAGGGGTATCGCGCCTCAGATTCCTGCACCTGCACCTTCCTACTTGTTCCTACTCCGTTTCCTAGAATTCTCCCCTTCGACTCTCCTCTTTCCCCAGCAGCACGGCTCACTGGCACTGCATCCTGCTGCTGCGTCTCTGCTGCTGCTTTACCCCCCTGCATTTCCACTTCCCTGACCTCTGACCCGTTTCTCGTTTGCGTTGACTCATAAGGCGTTTCGGCGTCCAATCCCTGCTTCCTCCTCCGCTCTTCGCTTTCTTCAAACCAACTCACGCGTGCCGCTGCTTGCTGCTGCTGCTGCCGCTGCTTCTCCGCTGATTTGATCTCTGCTACTTTAATCTCCGCTGGTTTACTCTCTGCGCCTTGCATCTGGGCCTGCAGCGCCCGCAGCTGATCCACGTACCCTAACCCGCTTCCTGCCTGCCCCGTTCGCTTCTCCTTCTGCCCTGACTTCGCCCCTCGCTCCTGCCCCTCTGCTCCCACCCCACCCCGACTGCTCCCTGCTGCCACTCCTCCTCGCTGTTGCCGCTTCTGACGAGCGCCTGGAGGTCGACCGTTTGAGTCACATTCGGCGCCTGTTGTTCCTCCCTTGCCATTCCCCCCCACTCCCACCTGCTGCTGCTGTTTCTGCTGCTGCTTCGGTTGCTGCTGTGTCCGCTTCGTTCCCTGCTCCTCCGGTCTCTTCTCCTGCTGCTGCTGCTGCTGCTGCTGCTGTTGCTGCTTCTGATGCAGCTCGTTTCTACCAGGATCCCTCCCAGCACTCGCTCCGCCGTCGATCCCTGTATCAGAAGCATCCGCAGCACGCGCCGTGTCGACCTGCGTCTCTGCCTCTCCTGCCGTACTTTCGTCTGCCGCACTCTTCCCCTTCTTCGTGTTACTAGAAGATTCACGTGCCGCCGTGGTGGGAGACTTGGGAGATTTAGGAGTTGGGATCAGAGAAGCCAGCTTGGCGAAAGGTCCTGACGCATCGTCTCCGGAGCCCAAACGCGCTGAAATCGCGGGAGCCAATCGCCTTCTCGGACGCGAGAAACTCCCGCTATAAGCAGACCACCTTATGCCCATCGCCGTTCGGCAGGTAGAACCCGTTCGGCTGGTACATAGTTTAGTCTGATAAAATGAACTTGTTCGACCGCCGGTAGCAGCCACTTTCCGGGTAAACAGCTCGGATCCTCTATCCGATAAACGGTGCCTGACAATTTGCCTCTGAAAAGCCGGAAATGATGTTCGATCTAGATAGAAACTACAGCGGAAGGACTCGCTTAGGGGCAAGACTCGCGAATCCCTGTTCTGCCAGGCAGAAAGTTCTAAATTCCGGCGACTGCTCGTCGCAGGATGTCGCACATGCGATCGTGGGTGGATTGTAGCTGGATTTTGCACGCTGCCTGTGATCGACGGATCGCAGTGTGGGTGCACGGCGGCCTGCTGCTGCCATGAACATGCGGCACATTGCACGGAAGGTGCGGCCATGCGCGCGCACACTGGCGACGTACTGAAGGTAAGATGATTGCGCGGGAACTAAACTGTGTCCTCCGAGGTTAATTGGGTCCTAAAGACGTCAATGAACAAAATAGTAAGGTGGAAGGTGTACGGAATGAGAAAGGTGGTTGGGAGTGACGTGACGTGTGCTGTTCTGGTCCGCAACAGCGTGGGCCCACTTTTTGCGCGATAGCGGAGGTTCCCGCAAATAAAACTATGACACAGGGAAACAAAGTGTACATTATGACATTACATAATTAGATTATATACATAATTTCAAATTCAGATCTAGCAGAGAACTTCATTACATCCTATGCTGGGCCTTCTCTGTACAGCACCTCCATTTGTAGGAGGGGAATTTGAGGGCATAGAAACCGATCCTCCCCTCCCGTCTAGACCGATTTCCACCACTGAGCCCCCATATCTGGCTGGTAATGCTTCACCTGGAAGACCCATTTTTATGTTTTGATACCCCACACCTGGAACAAACTCTGGCAACACCCCAACTGGTTTAGTGTATGGGTGTACACTAAACGACCCTCCATAAGAGGACATGGTCATGCGGGTCACCTCAGACCGCATATCCTCCATAGCCTTCTTCTCAGCTTGCCTCTGTCGCCACATGCACACCCCACACACCGCACAACCACAGCACACAAGCACAATCACCACAATCACAACCACAATAATCGCAACCATTCCAGCTCCCAAACCAGAAGTGCCATTTTTGCTCGCACTTTGTCCCTCATTCCCCTTTGAGTTCGGAAACGTGCTAGGACCCTTCACAACCCCAGAACCATCATTCCCAATGCTTCCTGGAGGTCCAGAATCCGATGGAAATGGCGACGGAAATGAAGTCGCACCTTCAGGTAGGGTGCACCACTGGAAGGCTCGGCCAAGGCTCTGGTTTGGGTCAGTAGTCCAGCCTTGGGAACAGATGCACTGGCTGCTGCCAGGTGCTGCTGGCGTTCCGTGGGGCCCACAATCAACGGGCTGAGGAGGGGGCGGTGGTGCTGAGGCCTGTGCTGGTGGTGGTTGTAACGGGTATGTGGGTGTAGCAGGTGAGAATGGTGAGCCTGGTACAGGAGGTTGAAAGGAGGCGCCAGTAGGAGGAAGGGGAGAGGTGGGAAGGGGGAATGGAGAGGGATCGGAGGGAGCTGAAAAGGGGACAGAGGGAGGGATTTGCGGTTGGAGCCAGGGGGAAGGCGGAAGGGAGGGGGAAGGGGGGCTAGGCGGGGGAGGGGAAGTGCAGATGAACCCAGGGAGGCAAGACGTTGAGTAAGGGGAGGGCGGAAGGGGAGCCTCGCATAAATTCTTGATGGTGTTCCAGATGGGTCTGAAAGGGCCGTATTTGGTGCTGCAGTCGACTGCACGGCACCACGGGAAATCGTCTCCCGTGATAAGCTCCTGGTCTACAGTGCATGTGATGCAGTAGAGGCGGTAGTTGTACGCGATTAGAACGCCTGGCGGTGGACAAGGAGGGGCGGAGGCGGATTGAAAGAGCATTCTCGCGTGGTTACTACCAATAGCTGCTGGCGAGGAAAATGCAGGGTCGGATGGCGATGGCATTGCCGACACCATTCTTCCAAAATACTGCTGTTGGAGTCTGAAACGACGAGATTGGCGCGATCAGGTATCAGAAAAAGGAACTAACCGAGAGGAATGACAAACCTGAGGCCTAACAATTACGCTATGCATGCCTTACAGGATGAGAAGAACTGCGATATGACACGACGCCCATGATACTGGAAACTCCTTCTCTTGATCAACCATATCTTTAAGCCTGGAACAGTGAAGCCATGAAAAAACCGACTTACCACGCATTCCCATGGCTATAAGGGAGGCCGCGCACCTGAGAGGTTGACCGTCAGGGTTGACGCGCGAGAGGTGCAAGGTTACCTACTACGCTGCCCGCGCTGCTGAAGCTAGTTCGCTTGTGACTGGATTAGTGAAATGGGAACGGAGAGTTTGAATGAGGCGGGTAGAGGGCATCAGCTGAGTGGATTGTCGTGAGGTGAGGTGTTGGCTGAAATTCGCGCGCGACGTCGCGGCGATCGCAAATTTTGACGCAACAGCTTTGGCGAGGCAAACATGTGGGAAACGATGCAGTTTGTCAGCAAACGGGCGACATGCGACGGAGATGAACCGGCAGATTTGCGTGTTTGGAGGGGGGTGTTCCGTCGATCCGTTGAAGGTCTCGTTTCACCCACCTTTTGCTCTTGATGTGGATTTGCAATGTACCCGTTTGTGAGCTATATCTCGGAACGGCTGCTGGTTATGGAATTTAAAAGGCAGATGAGGGTATGAAAACAGGTTCTAATGTGACTTGTGTTCGTGTTGGAGGTGGCTGTTACGAGAGCAATTGAGCGAGCGAGCGAGAATTGCACCATCGAAGCAAACAATACAGTTGAGCGAAAAGCATGAGCGAAATTATATAGCGAAGCTAGCGTGGTAACGGGAATGCGGGAAATTGAGGTGCGCTACGGGCGGGCTCTTGCAAACTTCTAGGCCCGTCTGACGGAAATCGGATTTTTTTTTTCTCGTCTGACGCTCACACGAAAATTTTAAGGTGGTCTTAATGTCAGACAGAACTTTAAGCTTCATCTGAGAGAGCAGACAAAAGTTACACTTATCAGACTAGAGTTTTTTAGGGTTCTACGGTCTACAAACGACTGGTTTTATCATCAGCGAATACATTCGTCCCAATTCACTCACTCACTATCACTACCATATGACTCCTCCTCGTCGTCACTTTCTTGATCAGAATCCATATCTTTGCCATGGTCAGACCTTCTATGTCAGGGGCCCAACTCCTCTTCTAGACTGGCTGCTTCTTCTGCAGCTGCTGCTTCACGAGCGGCTGCCTCTGCTGCTGCTGCTGCTGCTGCTGCTGCTGCTGCCGCCGCCGCTTCTTTTGCGGACAGCATCGCTAGGGTCGACTTCGACCGTTTCACCGGCCTCTGCGCAGGCACCATCACCACCTCCTTCACGGGACGCCTCTTCTTCGCACCTCTCCACAGCGCGACAACCGTGGGCCAGTCAGGTTGGTATTTCAGCAGGAAGATTGCCATCAGCTCGCCACGCTTGGCGTCGTTCAGATGCAGATGTTTGGGGGCGGGATGTCCCGCGGAGGGCTCACACCACCTGCGGCAGTGGCGGGCACAGGTATCGCGGCGGGAGTTTTACGGGTCAAAAAATCTAACGCAGAAACCCGAGGCTCCGCAGGTACCTCGGGAGCAACAGGTCTAGCGCCGTCTGTTGACTGCATGTGCTCCATGCTGAAATCACATGCTGCTCAAGAGGCAGTAACACCACGGTGCAGTGACGGGAACAAGCTAGTGGGAAGAGGTGAGAGACGGGCTTGGCGTGCGTGACTGAAAGGCAGAAGAAGGTTGTGAAAGAGCGGATTGGAAGAGACGACGACATGACAGAGGAAGGGAGGGACCATCAAGACGAACCGCGCTGAGTGAACGAGGGTTTCACGCGTGGGTGGGTGCATGCCTTGTTTGTTGTGCACCGACTGTCGTTGCACCCTGCCAGCGAGGGGGAGGCAGCAACCTGGCAGCTACAAGACAGATGCGTGGTATCACCCGCTGTGCCCTCACGCAAAATTTATTACGCGTGCCTGTACAGGAAAACGACTGCTCCTACGGCCAACTGGGCTAGTTTGGCGCTTTCAGACGAAACCATACGCGATGTCTGCTCCAGCAGACGAACACTTAAAACTTTTCTGAAAAAACATATGACGCTAAACCATTTGTCTGGGCTCTCATATGAGCCTTAAACATTTGTCTGCCAGAACATATGAACTATAAAATTTGCGCCTGAAACATAGACCAACAGACTAAAATAGTCTGATAACGAGGGCCCTAGCTACGGGCCTAGCGCCGAGGGTTGGGAATTGTCGAGGTGGAGGTCCGGAGCGCAGGTTACCAACCCACCGTTTAGGTTGGGTCGCATCGCGAACAGTGGCGGGAGTCGCGGCCGAGGCGAGTGCTGTGAGCGGGTAACGTTTCACTGTGGGTGCCGATGGCGGGAGTGGTCATGTACGCGGTAAGCAGGGGCGCGAAGTAAGGAAAAGGAATGTTCCTTACAGTGGCACACATCCTCGTCCATTGTTTGTTTAGTGCGGTTCGGTTAGTTCCCGCAAGGTATTAAACGGTTCCCGCAGTTGCCCACTTCAGAACACAGATCCCAGAATCGGCCCAAAGCAGCCCTGACACATCACGGGCAAGGTGGGAAACTCGGTGCTCGTTGATGCTTGGTGCCCAACCCCGAATGTTCAGGATATCAGGAAACTTCCCCTTGATTTGTCAGGTATACAACTTCCAAAGGTTGACTCTCTCTACACGCTCATTCGCCCAGCTGGAGGAGAGTGTAAGCGAGAGTTCTTGCTCGAGAGAGCAAGCGAGCATACCCCGTGTAATGCGTCGCGTTCCTGCCTTCAACCTCGTGACCCAAGCGGGACTAGGCCGGGTTACGATTATGACGGGATTTCCACTCTGCCAGTCTTGCTTTTCTCTTCCCTGGTGGTTATGGAACTGCGAGTCTGATGACATTCATACAAACATCTTGGTGCTGTATTTTTCAGGAAACACAGCCTCACCTCGTCATGTCCTATCTTGATGCTCATCCTGAAGTGGCCCAGTCAAGTAGATGGGACTTCAGAAGGATGAGGTCCTGGGATCGAACCCACCCCCATGCAGGCGTGTTCTGCCAGCCCCCCAAGAAGGGGGTTCGCACGTGCTAATCTGGGAAAGGGATAGTTCAATTGATTACGATCAATATATAACTTTAACTTTAACTTTAAACTATCTTGATCCTCATCTCTACGGATTCGTCTCCTAAACCTGGTCTAATGTTACGAGTGCAATTGAGTGAACGAGCGAGAATTGCACTATCGAAGCAAGAGTACAATGAGCGAAGGCATGAGCGAAGAATATATAGCGAAACTACAGTGGTAACGGTAAAGTGGGAAATTGAGATGCGCTACGGGCCTAGCGCCGAGGTTTGGAGAATTGTCGAGGCGGAGGTCCGGAGCGCGGGTTACCAACCGAACCGTTAGGTTGGGTCGCGTTGTGAACAGTGGCGGGAGTCGTGGTCGAGGCGAGTGTCGTGAACGGGTAACGTGCATGGATGGGTGCTGATGGCGGGAACGGTTATGTACGCGGTAAGCAGGGACGCGAAGTAAGGAAAATGAAATTTCCTTACATCTAACAAGGGTAGCATTTTGTTTCCTGGCTCGGCGTTAAGGTTCAGAGAGTCGACTCAGAAATCTGAGCCTTCGCAGCCAACTTCAGGACATGAGTCAGCTCACAAGCATCCATTCTCTTCCGGACAATGCTCTTGTCAGAATCTTCTTGCATTCTGATGTTCTCCAGCGGATCAGGAATTCGATTCTGCGGGCTCCCCGTGGGTCACGTACTCGATGGCTCAGTATTTTCTCAGGCGTGATGATTGGCTCAGTCGGCGGTCGTGTCATGCTGGCGGGGCGGTTGCGAGGCAGTTGGCTGGTGGATGGCACGTATGGGCGAAGCAGGCTGACGTGGAATGACGGGCTGACGTACCAGTCAGCAGGGAGGAGGAGATGGGCGGTGACGGGTGTGATCATGTGGCTGATGCGAAATGGCCCGCAATATCGGGGGCGGAGTTTTGGGGTGATGGGCAGGCGGAGGTTTTGAGTGTCGAGTAGGACTAGGTCGTCTGGCTGGTAAGTGACAGGTCGGCGGTGGCGGTCAGCGTTGCGTTTAGCGATGATGTTTGATTTTTTTATTGCTTCGGCTGCTTGAGTCCGTGCTGCTCGCAGTATTTCCGCGAACTGTTGCGCGCGTGGGACTGGGTTGTCGGGATTTGGGGTCATGGGTACTGTGGGGTCTTGTCCGTAGTTCAGGTAAAACGGTGACTGTTGGGTCGTGGCGGATGGCGAGTTGTTGTATGCGAATTCGATGAGTGGCAGTGCTGTTCCCACGTGGTCGGGTCGTCGCACGTGGCCCGGATGAGCTGTTCCATGGTCTGATTTGTCCGT